TAAGTCTTCTTGTCTGTGTGATCTGAAGACTTATTACACTTGAGGACTGTGCATCCTCCAGCCGGTTAGGCGTCGCGTTCTGAGCATCCAAGAGACATTGTGGATTGCCGGTGAACGAAGTCTGTGAAGGTTTGGGAGTCTACCTTGAAGACTTACCAGAGTGATTGGGCGAGGTCTGTGCGACCTTAGCTCAAGGGGAATACGGTGAGGACTGGGTGTCCTGAGCTGCGTGTTCAGAACTGGGTGTCCGAGACTGTGTGTCCTAAGGTTTAAATACCTAGCCGCCCTAACCAGACGTACAGTTGTCACAGCAACTGGAACTGGTCCAACAAATCATTGTCTTCAACGAGTCACTGGTTTCATCTTCCCTTCCCTTTACTTAATGTTACTCCTTGTGAAGTCATTGTATGATTGCACTTTCTTTTATCTTCACTGAGTGACTGCGTTTTCTGTTTGGCTTCATAATATCTTCCTACCTGATCCTTACTACATTGCTGCTATTAGTCATTGTGCTTTCACTCCATTGAATACTTGACTATGGCTTGCCTAGTGTAGTCTACCTTCCGCTGCAGGGTAATAGGTTTATTTCTATCATTTGTCTTCATAACTTCCACGTTTTGAAGACTTTCATAAAAATCGCCTATTCACCCCCCCTCTAGTCGATATAACGCATTTTCAATAAGAAAGTGGCAAGCCAGCCAGCCAGCCAGCCTCTTGTCAACCTTATGGATCACGGGCATCAACATACCATGAGTGATCTTGTGAGGGGAGATAGGTAGACCCAGATATGTACAAGGATAGGATTCAGTCTGGCACTGTAGGAGATCAGCAATTTCCTGCCAAACTGGCTGGTCCAAGCAAATAGGAACAAAAGTGCTCTTATGATAGTTAATTTTCAGCCCAGTGAAACCAGAGAAAGCATCCAAAATCCCCTTAATAATCCCCACTTGCTGAACATATCCTTGTATCAGTAGCAACATGTCATCCACATATTGTAAGACAGAAAACAGACCGTCGGCTCCAAGTGGGTGTTTGAGGTTTCCTATCATGTACTCTCTATTGCATAGTTGCTGCAGAATGTCTGTTGCTAGAATGAAAAGAGAATGTCTGTCACCTTGTCTTAGCCCACTTTTGGATAAAATTCTTTCCCCAAGGGTGCCATTGATTAGAATTCTAGAAGAGCTAGACGACGCTATATCACTAACCCATCTTCTACCGAAGCCTCTGGTTGTGAGAATGTGGCGTAGAGCATAGGTGTCTTCCTCTTCTTGACCTGTTGCACTAGCTCAACCGTGAGTGCAAAGTTTTCAACTATGCAGTGACCAAGGAGAAAAGCAGACTGAAGCGGATGAATGAGGCTTGGAATTAATTATTGCAACTAAACTACAAGGACCTTGGTTGCCAACGTACACTATGTACTAAGGAGATGGGTTTGAAATCCTTCATATCTGTTGGGTTCTTTCTTTCTGGGATGAGCACGATATTGGCGAAGTTGATACCCTGTAGGTTGCTGCCATGGTCATAAAATTCTTGAAAGAACCATAACAAATCCTCCTTCAGCAGTCCCTAAAAACTCTTGTAAAACTCATTTGTGTATTCATCAGGCCCAGGCCTCCGATTGTTGGGTGTTTTTTGAATTACAGCCGTGATTTTGCCCCGTGTGAGTGGCTCTTCTAGTGAGCTTAAATCATCTTGGTTATACAATTGAAAGGGGTCCAAAGTGCGCAAGGAAGGGGAATGCTTCCCGAAGATAACAGTGAAAACTCAGTAGCAATCGTGAGCTTGTTCTGATCACGGAAAAATTCTATGCCATCCTTAACAAGTAGCATGATCTTGTTTTTTCTGTGCTGGCAATTGGCGGTTGTGTGGAAAAACTTCATATTTTCGTCACCCAAGGTGCAACCTCGTATCTTTGCCCGGCGCCTCCAAACACTGGTTTGCCATAGAATCTGGCTCCTTTCTCCCAGCCCTTGTTCTTCTCAACTTGAAACTAAGCAAGGTTGATGTAGAAAGTTTCAAGCAAGGTTGATGTAGAAAAGAAGAATCTGGTGCCTTTCTCCCAGTCGTTGGCAACCAATCTCGGGCTTCTGGTATCTGTAGCCAATGGTTCTCGAACCTGAAGAAGTAGCTCTTAGCTGTGTCTTTGGAAAACTCGACACTAATCAGCACATGGCCAGATGTTGTTGCAGGAAGAGAAGTAGGCATAGTGTTGAGGAATCCTAAGCTCGATTCAGTGTTAACCAATACTCTATCGAGCTTGACCTGAGTTGGCTCCACCCTCTTGTTCGACCAAGTGAAACTTCTGTTAGCAACATCGATATCATCCAATGCATTCCCTCTGATCCATGAGTTGAACCTGTCCATCACTGCCCAAATTTTTCTCCCATGCGATTTTTCATGTGCAAACCTGTACATGTTAAAATCCCCTAGGATGACCCAAGGTCCAGTCACTTGCTCCGCAGCTTGTTCCATCACAACAAACCTGTACATGTTGAAATTCCCTAGGATGACCCAAGGTCCAGTCCTTTCCTGCAATTTCTCATGTGCAAACCTGTACATGTTGAAATTCCCTAGGATGACCCAAGGTCCAGTCCTTTCCTGCGATTTATCATGTGCAAACCTGTACATGTTAAAATTCCCTAGGATGACCCAAGGTCCAGTCACTTGCTCCGCAGCTTGTTCCATCACAACAAACCTGTACATGTTGAAATTCCCTAGGATGACCCAAGGTCCAGTCCTTTCTTGCGATTTCTCATGTGCAAACATGTACATGTTGAAATTCCCTATGATGACCCAAGGTCGAGTCACTTGCTCCGCAGCTTGTTCCATCGCAACAAAAAGTTTGTGCGTTCATCATCATCACATGGGGCATATACAGTGGATAAAACAAAGCTGTCGTTGTTACTCCTCGATTGGAAACATGCAAAGATGCTAAACTTGTGCTTGGTAATCTCAGAGCCGCACACCACATTTTCATCCCACGCCACAAGCAAGCCACCTAAAGTGCCGCAAGTCGGCGTGTAGATGAATGATCATTGATTTGGGTGGGGAGGAAGGAGGCTGCCTTCATCGTGTCCACCACCTGCAGTTTAGTTCCCTGCAGGAGACTGACGCTCGATCGACTAGACAAGAGTGCACCTTTGACTAATGAGTATTTGTCAGTATCACCAAGTCCGCTAACATTCCAACTAGCAATCCACATGATGAAAAAAGATGTACCCAAAGACAGGATCAAGGAGGAAACTAATTAAGCTTAATAAGGACACTTGATTAATAGAGTGCTCAGGAGAGCTTACATAGCTTGAATTGCAAATCTCAAGTAAAGGAAAACATGCAGTACAACGCAGATAGAACGCTCAAAAGGACCACAATATAGGATGAACGACTACAACACATGACACATGCAGAGAGAAGCAACATATTGAGGTGACCCTGACAAGCATGCAGGCGATTCTTCTTCTGCCGCCTAGAAGTGGGTATTATGGTGATATCACGGGGAGGATAGTCTGTAGTCATATTTCCAGATGTAGCCAAGCTCGATGGATCTCGTTAGTGAATCTCAATGTTATGCTTCGTGTGGTTGCTTTATGAAAAAGGGTTTTCCACTGCTTTATATATAAAGCACCCTTCGTGTGGTTGCTTTGCCCTGGATAGATGGACACGTGCCTTGGATTTTCTAACAAGCGGACACACCGGCATTGCAGCTGTGACTCTGCAGGCAGACGAGCAGCATAACATGACCACGACGGCGCACATCACACCGCAAGTGAGAATTTGTTTGAACTTTCAGCTGATTGATTAAACGGCATTGGTGTGGTTCAAGTTGACACACGCGTAAGATCTCCACATTCTCCGCACGTACGTAGTTCCGCCATTGCTCAACGGCTCAACCCACCTACCTACCTCAAGCCCGGCCCTCGGTTTCGAACACCCGTCGCACGCACGCACCTGCCCTGCTTACAGTTTACAGCAATACTGAGTACTGGTAGTACCGGCCACCCACCCATCGCGTCACCTCAACGGCGGGCGGGCGTACATGCGACAAGGCCTAATCATATGCGGCGCACCACGGCGACAGCTCACTCGCGCTTGCACCCCCCTCCCTCTCACTGCCGGCCGCCCCGCCCCCGCGTCGACGAGTAGTCCTACACAGTGCATACGGTGGTGCACGCACACGCGCTCACTGACGCGCCCATCATCATCCCTGTCCCCTACCCCTCCCCCACTCGTGCGGTGTGCTGGTGTTTGCGCCGGCTCCAGCAGGCGCAGCTCACAACCAAAGCCTGCTGCTGCTGCTCATCCTCATCATGACGGCGTGTGCAGCCAGCTGATCGGGCGCAGGCGCCTCCCTTCATGCACCTGCTCTTAATGGGTACGCACTCCTCATGTCGCTTCTTCTTGGATGGTTTCTCATTTTCTAGGCCATTTTTGAGGTTCCTGCTGCGCCCTTCTTGGCGCTGCTCTGCTCTCCTCTCCTCTGCGCATTTCTTGGTTCTAGACTTCTCTCTTCCTTCTTGGAACTCCATGTATGCCCCTCCTCCTCGGTCTTTGCGAAAGCGATTTTCACAAGCTTGTCATCTTCTTGCTGTGGTAGGTACCGCTCCTATGCACGTAGTTTACTTATAACCACGTTTACTTCTTGGGTTGGGCATTCGCACCTGCATTACTCTATTCGTTCAACAAGAGGTTTTACAAGCAACAGATTCCAGTTTGATTTAAAGGGAAGGGAATGGTGCATTGGTGACGGTCACATCGCATCGCCCCCTTTCGCCACTTCCTGCTTCTTATTCCTTCCTCTAAAGCTGCATCCATCCCATCTTTTTCTTTTCCGCTTTTGCTCTTTCCCCTTTGATCGGTTTCGATGCCGCCACACTCTTCATCTTGACCGCATCACTCACCACCACCCACATTGTGCTGCCTGCCATTGCTCTCTCTGTCTCTGTCTCACTCTCGCTCTTGATCTCGTCTTGCTGGGAAGCAGAGGAACTTCCGGGGCTGCAATGCCGGGACGCGGCGGGGAGGAGGGCGCGGCGGTGAGGCTGGCCAGGATCCGCAAGCGCCGCGCGCTGTCCTCCTCCGACGCCTCCAACGCGGCGAGGAGGCTGAGGTCCAGGAGGCCTGCGGTGCTGCTGATACGCAGGGGGAGGGAAGGAGGCGCGGCCATGTCGGACTCGTCGTCCCGGAGCCGGCATTGCCGTCGCCAGGTCGCCGACGGCGCGTCGGCGAGGAGGCTCGTCACCGCCTTCTGGCAGTCGGACAAGGACAGGCTGTTCGGGGAGGAGCAAGATGTCCTGCTCATGGACAAGGACGCGTCGGCGCGCCGGAGCCTGGTTCCTCGGAGCAACGCCTCCACGGAGGTGAGAGATACTACTTGGACTTAGATTCATCTGTTTTGGTTGCGTCATTTGTCGAATCTGTGGTGTGGTTGGTTAACCGATCTAGCGGTGGTGTAGGTTTCCAAGAGCTCAAGAAGCAGGACCAAAATCAAAATGTTTGAGGAGGCCGGTGGCCGGAAGGGGAGCTGCCACAACGGCCATGGACAGTGGCCTTCAGCAGATGTCAACTGCAGCGCAATGGAGGTAAATCCGCACCTTCTTTCCTTATCTTAGCTCTAGTTTTTTTTCTTTCCTTTTTCCGAGAAATGTTAGTTGTAGTTGTTGAGCCGTCAGAAGAAAGATTTTGTACTTCATCATCGAGTCTGGACTCTTGAGCAGGTGAATCTGCAACATTTCTACTATTAAACACTTAAATCTTGCATGCAAAAAAAAAGGGAACCAGCAAATTCTTACCCACCCTGACAACATAGATGAGTTCAAATGCTATCTAATTTCTTAATTCAGTCAGTATTGACGTGGGTAGGTGCAAAATTTCCAGTACTTGTTTAACTGAAAAAATATGAGAATCCCTTGATAGATCTTAGAATAGGAGAATAGGTTGTCTTAAGCCTGAACTAGCTCTGAGTTGCCGAGCTAGTGATGATTTTAATCAGAGCCTAGCTAGTTGCTAGCTAAAGGAATCTCTCCCCTCAGAAAGGACTTTCGACTTGTTGTTTCAAACGTAGCACACCTTTAAGTGCAAGTTGGTTCCTACAAATATGCAAACATTTGCGGAACTCAGAAATGCTTGTCCAAGAAGCATCTCAGTAGCCACCACCTTACAAATGCTATATGAGTAGAGTAGTGTATGCGTAGGCGCCGCCGTGCTGAGTTATAAAGTCACTGATAATTTTAGCGCTGTGCACCTTTAAGTATGAGCTGGTTTTGTAAAACATGAAAGCAGAAGCAAATGTGGGACGCATCTCCAAGGAACCATTTTCAGATGCACATGCGTCTCGTCCACTTGTGCATCAGTCTATCAGCTAGGCTTGATTGTTTATCCAGCAGCTGAAATGGCTCCGTAATAACTTTCCTTACGTCTAGGTCGTTAGGGGGTGTAGTTATTGGGCAGTTGCTAGTACTCCCTTTTAGTATATGGGTGGTCAGAATTATTGAAGCTAATTTCCGATGAGAAAGACCTGTATGCCTTGTCTCTGATTTTATTATCTATACTATCATATACTACCACTTTTACCTTCTGAATTGGGCGATTTCTACATTTCATATAAGAACCTTGCTATCTATGAATTGAAATAAAAAAAGAAGACAGGAGTTGAAGTTAGCACTAAACTTTGTCATTCTGTTTTCAGATTGGCACACACCCTCAAGACGATGTTTCAAGATGCCCTGAAGAGAAAGCAACCCAGCTGAAGGATCTGTATAACAGCTTGATTGCGTCCAAGGAGCTCGCCAAGGTGCTAGCACACATCTGGGGAGAGCTGAACCCATCAACCGTCTCACTCATCTCTGCGCTGCGCTCCGAGCTCGATCTTGCGCGCGCCCACGTGCGAAGGCTCATCAAGGAGCAGAAAGCAGAGCGCAGCGAGATCGACGACCTGAAGAAGGAGCTCGTGGAGGAAATGGAGGCCTGGAAGGCCAAGCAGAAGGAGAAGGCCGCGACCGCCCTGCAGTACGTCGTCACGGAGCTGGACAGCGAGAAGAAGTCGAGGAGAAGAGCAGAGAGGGCGAACGAGAAGCTCGGCGCCGCATTGGCCGACGCCGAGTCCTCGCTGCGCGCGGCCAACAAAGAGCTGGAGAGGGAAAGGAAGTGCAGAGGGAGGGTGGAGATGATGTGCGGCGAGCTCGTGAGAGGCATCGGCGAGGACAGGGCCGAGGTGGAGGCGCTCAAGAGAGAAGCTGAGGACTCGCAACGGGAGCTGGAGAAAGAGCGGGAGATGCTCCATCTCGCGGACGAGTGGCGCGAGCAACGGGTTCAGATGAAGCTGCTGGAGGCGCGGCTTCAGTTCGAGGAGAAGAACTCGGCGCTCACCCAGCTGCACGACGAGCTGCAGGCGTGTCTGGACGCCAAGAAGGGCCAGGAGCCTGAGAAAACCGATCAGATGCCATCAGCCCGTGCGTCTGAAAATGGAGGCGCTGCCTCTGGCCCTGTTCCAGCTCCAGACAATGCTGGTGACGGAGGATTCAGTGAGGATTGCGACTCGGAGGGGAGTGACATGCACTCGATCGAGCTGAATGTCGACGGCAACGGCAATTTGCATACCTGGAGCTACACTCCTTCGTCGAGGCGCGACCGGAGAGTGGGTGCGACGACGCATGGATCGTTTCCGGAGGACAGACGGACGGATGATGCCGGCTCGCGCGGCGGCGACCGGAAAACGTCCCGGGAGACAGATGACGCGCTGGAGGGGGACTGGGCAGAAGGGTGCAGCCACGGAGTGCTCAACTTTGATCATGACGAGGAGAGGTACCAGGCCATCAAGGATCTCAGGGAGCAGATGCTGGCTGGATCTGGGCTCCTCATGTCACAGGGCAGAGAAACTGCTCAAAGTCAGTACTGTATCTTCTGATGTTAATTGAACTTGGCCGATTACTGAAGTGTACCGACCAATCACTGCTGATGTTAGTTAGATATGACTTGCTCAATCAGACAGGGATATATAGTCAGGGTTTGTCTTTGTTGATGAGTTTTCTTTTGCACGAGTGCTTTGAGCTCTTGAAAATTGGGGATGCGGTTCAAGTGTACCCAGTTCCATGCTTGTAGTGTTATGTATATTATTATTACAAGGAGTATGTTTTTTTACAGAAAACTTTCGATCTATTCATCTTTAATCATGACAGTACAACAACCACCAGAAATAATAGAGATTATATCCAAATACGTAGACCACCTAGTGACGACTACCTGCACTGAAGCGAGCCGAATGCGCGCCACCGTCATCCCCTCCCTTGCTAGAGCCGGACAAAACTTGTTGTAATAGACAGTCGGAAAATGGTCATGCTAAGGTCCCATGGGACCAGCGCACGAAAACCTCAACCGCCGCCGATGAAGAGTAGCATAGATCGAAAGGATTCAACCTAAAAACACACAAACGTAGATGAACGAGGGCCAGATCCGAACAAATCCACTAAAGACAGATCGGCCAGAGACACATATCCACATGCCTGACGACGATGCTAAACGCATCACCGGGACGCGGGCTAGATAGGGAAAACCTTATTCTATCTTCATGGAGCCGTCGTCGTCTCGTCTTTCTAAGCAGGACTCAAACCACAACAAAACTCGAAGAAGGATAAAAAAATGAAGCCCTCCCATCGGGAAGGGACGTGGTCCACCGCGCTGGAAGCAGAGGAACTCTAGGTTTCTTTCAAGAGGAGGCGGCTGTCCTTTTGACAGATGAATATGTATGCTATTGTCATAGTTATAGGTTCGGTGAGTGTTTCATGCAAAAGTAGACAAACAATTTTGCGGTGAAGAAAGCTGATGAAAACAAGCAATTGCTTAGGCGCTAAATATAAAAAATAATAGAAGAATTCTACAAGTTTCTCGGAAATTTTAGAAACACTATTCAACCAGTTTCGGTAAATATTAAATCATGATAATGTTGGAATTAATTTTGGAAGCTATTCCTTTCCGTTCAACGTGTTATCGATAAGTTCAAGCCGGCTCCAGTAGGGGAGCAACGATAGCGACTCGTTTTGATGGCGTTAGTGACCGTTCGGTGGTCTTGAAATCTCGATATAATTTTTATTATGTTTAAAATGTTTTGTACTTCTGATGAACTTTTATAATTAATCTGATCCATTCCCAAAAACCTATTTTACTGAGAATATCCATAAAATTAAATAAATTTTAGTAACCTCAAAATATTTACTAGACAATTTACGCGCATCATTTTTATGTGTCCAAACTTATTGTAAAGAAAGAGATGACTACTGTATATTATACAGCGATTGATAAGACAATCTTATTTTAAGCCTACTACCACATAATTTAGAGATCACGACAAAAATATGATGTACGATGTTTTTATTTCTTAGTGTTGTCGCTGATAACTAGATAAATATGTAGTGAAAGATATTGTTGTTGAGATACCATCTCTTAACTTAGAGGATAAACCTTGTTGTTTCCTCTGATTTATCTCCCTTTCACCTCATGATTTATCCCACTGTCACTCCTAAGATAGTGACAGTGTCCCGAGCTCCCGGCTAAGGGGCCTCTCACCATGGATAAAAGTACACAACAATTTTGCGGTGAAGAAAGCTGATGAAAACAAGCAATTGCTTAGGCGCTAAATATAGAAAATAATAGAAGAATACTACAAGTTTCTTGGAAATTTTAGAGACACTATTCAACCAGTCTCGGTAAATATTAAATCATGATAATGTTGGAATTAATTTTGGAAACTATTCCTTTCAATTCAAGGCTGTTATCGACAAATTCAAGCCGACTTCGGTAGGGGAGCAACGGTAGCGGCTCATTTTGGCGGCGGTAGTGATCGTTTGGTGGTCTTGGAATCTCGACATAATTTTTATTATGTTTAAGATGTTTTGTACTTCCGATGAAGTTTTATAATTGATCTGATCCTTCCGAAAAACCTATTTTGCTGAGAATATCCATAAAATTAAATAAGTTTTAATAACCTCAAATATTTACTAGACAAATTACGGGCATCATTTTTTATGTGTCCAAACTTACTGTAAAGAAAGTGATGACCACCGTATATACGGTGATTGATAAGACAATCTTCTTTTAAGCCTACTACCACATAATTTATGAATGATGATAAAATTAGGATGTACAATGTTTCATTTCTTGGTGTTGTCGTTGATAACTAGATAAATATGTGCTAAGATACAATCTCTTAACTTAGAGGATAAACCTTTTTATTTCCTCTGATTTATCTCTCTTTCACCTCAGCATTATCCCAATGTCACTCCTAAGATAGCGACAGTGTACCGGGCTCCCGACTAAGGGGTCTCTCAACATGGCCTCTCGGTCTGATGCGCCAGGCTGAGGAACCCTTGTAGGTTCTGACCTAGGCCACATAGGGCGGCCCATGGCATATAATCAGAAGGTTCTAGAAGAGTTGACGTACATGACAAGACACTGGATTCGTGGAGGACTTTGCCTCCCGTACGTAGCCGACTAGGATCTTTTACCCTAGGACCCCCTCCCCCCGGTATCTATATAAACGAGGGACCTGACTCGTAGACATCATCGTTGGACATCTCACATCATTACAATCTCGTGGTAGATTACATCTACTTTGTATTTACTCCAACGCAATAAACACAGGCATGACATCGGGTATTATCTCCTCAGAGAGCCCGAACCTAGGTGAAATATCGGTATCCTTGCTACCCTCATTCCAAGACATCTAGCTTAGGATCCTCTACCTCAATATCTGCCGGTTTAGGTTCCGTCAGATAACACCATTGTTAGAAAAAAGATAGCATCATTGTACATGCTCTAAGTCATAAGTCATGCCCCAGCCATTCAAGTCCTTATCTGTGAGGGCTTCGATGGCCTGGACAAAAACTAGTTCTCGAAATCTTGTACAATCTCTAAGTCATAAGCCATGCACCAGCCGGTCAAGTCCTTGTCTGTGAGGGCTTCCATGGCCTGGACAACAATTGGTTCTCGAGTTCCCACCCAAAATTCTTCTCTAC